TGTTATCTTACTTTCTTTTTTTTTTTTCTCTACAGTTTCTTCTCTTTTTCTTTTTTTACTGTCGGTTAGAACGGGGAAACTGAGGGTTAACGAGCTGTGAGAAGCACCATCGGAGTCAACACACACACACACACACACACACACACACACACACACCCACACACACACACACACACACACACACACACACACACACATACACACAGATACACAGTTGTGTGCCTATGAATCAGAGTTGGTGGTGATGATGATGGTGGTGGTGGTGGTGGTGGTGGTGGAACAAAGCCCTATTGGTAAACATATGAAATGCAAGAAGAAAGGTTGCTTTTCAGTGAGACAACAACTATTTGTAGCGCATTGTGAAAACGGTGACGAAAAGGTATTATTTGGTTATTGTTCAATGTGTATGATCAGTGGTAGTTGGTGGTATGTATGTATGTGTGTAATATCGGTAACAAACTACAGTCAATATTTGTTAGCACTTTCTAAAAAGCATTCTTTCGCCTAACACAGTCACCTTTTGTTACCAGCATATCGTTGTCGAATTTAACAGCACAGTTCTCAACTTCAACCTCTGGCCTCTTCTTCTTCTTCTTCTTCTTGTCCGGGGCTAATTTCCCGTCCCCTTTTTCCTCTCGTTCCCCCATTCCCCTTTCTCGCTACCAACCATCTATCTATCCTTTTCCTCAACATTGTTATATTTGCAGACACAACTGTTTTGTAAACATTTTTGTCAGCACCTACAGTATACACACATACACACACACATTCACACACATTCACACACACACACACACACACATGAAGTCTTCCATGCATCTTCTTAGTGGAATTAATATTTTTATTTTTAATATTTTTGCAAATATAAAACTTACCAATGGTATAAAACTGTTGACCTGAAAGTTGCAAAAAAAAAAAAAATTTTTTTTTTTATTTTCTAAATAGCTGTTATACCAATGTTTGATTATATGTGCAGAATAAAGTGAAATATTTAGTATTATAAACAAAACCATCACAGTATCTTGTGTTTTTTTTTCCTATATATTTATTTATTTTTGATTGTGGAATAAGTTTTCTGGACTAAATTCTGATTTACTTATGATTTACAGTCTACCAATACCAAAAAAAAAAAAAAAAAAAAAAAAAAAAAAAA